GACAAGAAATTCCTTACTGTAAAATTTCTATTGTTAATGTTGATAGTGTTCGATAGAAAATAGTGTCACTACCGCCCCCTTCATTTCCGGAATACAATAGTCCCATTTCCATATAAGGAATGGGACTGACGGAAAGGTCTGTCACCGCCCCGTTCTGCATGCTGCAGCCAAGTGTACTTGCTTGCTTCTTTCGTCCTTTTTCCTACTTCCTGCTATCTCCTTCCTGCTATCTCCTTCCTGCTACCTCCTTCCTGCTTCTTACTTCCTGTTTCCTCCTTCCTGTTTCCTCCTTCCAATGTCCTCTGTTCTGCTTCATCCTAATAAAAAAAACATAAAAGTATAAAGTAATATGTAATAAATTAAAATAGTTTGTTATATTGTGGCTGTTTATAACTCTAAAGTAAAGATAATAATAGGCACTGATTAAAAAAGAAACCGTTAAAATAAAGTAACAAGGTTAAATAATGTAAGAGAATTTATTAAACTAACAAACTCCAGAGTTTAGTCTCTTCACAGTCTGTGGACCCTAAGAACAGGTTGTTTCAGGAAGGTTTTATTAACCGTTAAAGGAGGAAGTATAAACGGTGGTATTAAAAGAATGTTTTTATTTTAAATGGGCTCTTTTCCCTCACTCAGATTCACCGGGCCGGCCCAACGACTGCAGACTAAGTGAAACACGTTCTGACTGTTTAACCCCTTAAATAAAGATTATTTTAAATTTTCCATAATGAGCCATTTGCAGAATACATTCTATTAATCTGCAGGGCTTCTGAGCCGTGGAAATCTCCCCACAGACTCTTTAATCAGGTAATTAATTAACAAAGAGCTCTGATGTGGACCGATGGAGGTGCAGGAACCACTCACTGTTCAGTAAGGAACATTCTGCAGAACACAGGAGGCAGGTGTCATCTGGACCAAGGTTCATCTGGACCGAGGTTCATCTGGACCGAGGTTCATCTGGACCGAGGTTCATCTGGACCAAGGTTCATCTGGTCTGAGGTTCATCTGGACCAAGGTTCATCTGGTCTGAGGTTCATCTGGACCAAGGTTCATCTGGTCTAAGGTTCATCTGGTCTGAGGTTCATCTGGTCTGAGGTTCAGCTGGTCTGAGGTTCATCTGGTCTGAGGTTCATCTGGTCTGAGGTTCATCTGGTCTGAGGTTCATCTGGTCTGAGATTCATCTGGTCTGAGATTCATCTGGTCTGAGATTCATCTGGTCTGAGTGATGGGTATTTTTCTAAAATACATACAAAAACAGGGGAGCAAATGAGACAATCAAACCATGGTTTAGAATCAAAGGTGAGNTTAAAAGAGTCGATCATCAGATATTGTCCAAGATTAACCTTCAGGGTGGATATAGCTCGCTAGCAGCCTCGTGCCAATGACCTAGTTGATGTCATCCTTTACCCAGAATGCTTTGCGTGTAAATAAAATGGCTCTGTCCATATTAAAGTATATTTTAAAAAAGTTACAAAACTAAACAGACTACAGTATTTTTAGTCTTTATTTTACTGTTAAAATAAATGTTTATTAAATAAAGTCTAATGTTACAACTAATCGTGGATCCCTTTTAAAAAACTGACGAAGTTGTTTGTGTTTTAAAGTGAGTTGGACTGAGTGAAACGTCTGAATGATGATCTGTCCACAGGAAGAGGGTAAGAACTTTAACATGGTGGAAAAATAAATTAAACACTTAGAAGCAGAGAAGAATGGAGAAGTGTTGTACAGGGGTACAATGGTGTTCCTCCTGGTTGAGTTGAGCTCTTCGCAGTCTGCAACATGAACAACAAAGTATCCAAAAAAAAAACTTTAATTTTCCTCTTTCTGCTCACAACTAAAATACTTTAAATGTTGATTCTGAAATTCCAAACCGGAGGTTTGAGATGAAGTCAGACCTTCAGTTATCTTTCTGACTTTGATTAAATCATCTCAGATCAACTTTCTCTCTGAGTCCTGATTAATAAAAGAAGAAATAAAGACTCATTTTAGCTTCTACAGCTGTTATTTCGCTTCCTCGTCGTGTCTTCTTGTTTTTCAGAGCTTTGTCTGTATGAATGCACTAAATGTCTTTTATGTGATGTTTCGTTATTTGCTGCAAACTGAAAAACTGCCAACAGGAAACAGGATGTTTTTACACCAAATGTAACAGAAACACATTCATCCTCCTCATCACTTCCTCCTCTGCGTTTGAGATTGTTTGATGTTGGCAGAAAATGTATGTTTTGAGCCAGTCCTCTGAGCTGGTTCCATGTTCTTGCTCTAGCTGATGTGATTCTCCTCTAAATGCTCCTCAGGTGAAGCTGCTGTAAAACCAAAGAGAAAGTTTCCATCAGAGAAAATAGTCCTGCAGGTTCTCTGTGTTCTGCTGGCTGCTGCTCTCATCATTATTATCACACTCTGTGAGTTTAAGAACAAAAACCACGTGTAACATAAAGCTTCGCAGATTAACACGCTGTGGTTCAGTGTTTACAATCATCATGTCTGAATTTAATTTGATCTCAACTAACTGCTGCGTTTTGTTATTTCTTTAACCAGGTGTTGTCCTTTTATTGACCAATAAATCAGTTCAAACCCTGAGAGAAAGAAATGAAGCTCTGAGGAAAAAACTCTCAGGTGAGACATTCAGGGACTGAAAGTCTCAGTTCTGTCAGGACTCTTAATGTCTTTTTTATAATTTTCTTCAGTTTCAGTTAAACAGAAATGTATGGAAGCCCTGAAAGGAAAGGAGGGATTATTTTTGAAGACCCATATTCTAAGTCAGATCGAATTTTCTGTTTCTCTTGACTTTAACAGTCACAAGGCGAGTAAAAAAAATGTAAATATAATAATATTAAAAATAATACTGAGTTAAAATGTTTTTTAAAGCCCTGAAATGTAAATGGAAGAAAAAAAATGTTTTCTAATTTTTTCCAAGTTCTTTTTTTTGTTTAAGTCGAAAGAGACAAGTAGGGAAAAAAATCTGACTTGTCATTTTGATGATGAAGTTTAAATAGTTGTTGATACTGAACGTCCTGATGCATCTCAGTAATCCAGGAAGAAAAAATCAAAAAGAAAAAATAAGTAGGTCCTCTGGATGGGTTCTTCTTTAGTGAAACGTTTCGTCTCTCCTCCAAGAGACTTCTTCAGTCTGATGAGTTTCAGGTGAAACTCAGCCTTATAAGCACTGCCTCCACATGGTGGACAAACAGGTTAGTCACGTGCAAAAGAGGACCATCGCCTAACAATAGGCTTGATTAGCTCTATTGTTCACAGAGGGTCATGTGTCCCATCATCTGACCCGTGTCGCGTTATGTATATGTAGTG